TAGTCGGAAAGCACGGGAGATCACTTCGCCCACTGCCTCATCGCCTTTGAAAATGTCCACCGCAGTTGTGGACGAAACGTCAGGAAGAAATTCCTGTAGACCACGGCTTCAAAGCCCGGAAAACATTCCTAAATGTAATCTGACCGGCCGTGAAAGCCTTCACAGTCTGATAAAACATCAACCTTTCCCAACCGATCGATTCCAGGTTCATTTGCGCGATGTCAGTGTGGAAGAGGGCGCCATCTTAGCCAGAAGTCTGGAATGCGGATTCACAGAAGTGGCGGCTTCCGAGCAAATCGCTCCCGTCGCTGTGGTGTTTCAGGTGAGCGCCTCCAGAGGCCGACCGAATCTCCGAAATAAACCGTATTTTCCAGGAATTATGCCGGGCAGTGCTGGCATCCAGGCGGAAATCCAAACATTCCCTGCTGGAGCGGATGCTGGGCAGCAGAACGTCGAATTTGCGCCTCTACGTTCGCGGGAAAAGCGACAGCGCATTGCCAAAAGACTGACGGCTTTACCTAGATAAATGCACATTTATAGATTTATGTAGATAAAGCTGATGTTTCGCCTGCTTTGCTCGGGGCATCTTCAAGGGAGCCCGTTGTAAATGCGGGCGCGAACTCTCACTGTACGCCACCCAACTGTAAATAGTTTATTGTAAATGGAAGTGTTAAAATAAATGCGTGTTGCCAGTTAAACGTTGCAGGATTTTTCAATTGCTTTCCCCATTGCGAAATAATCCCCGAACTCTTGGCACTCTTAAGGCCGCAGGAGTAGATGAAATCCTGCTCCTGCGCTGCAAGCAGGGCGTGGGCGGCCATAATAATCCCGCTCGCATCGTCCAGCATCCCTAAAGGATGCGAAACAACATGCAGGATGCAATCCTGCTTTCGCGCAACATTTTCCTGATTTTGGCATTGGCGCCATTTGCCTGCTGCAGCATCAGTGAGAAAATCCCTTTGGGTGAGTAAACCGATATCTATCCTCAACCCCTTTTAGCCCCAGCTAATTTAATCTGAGGTTATATTGACCAAAAACCCTTACTTTTTCACTTACTTGCAATTGGGGTCTTGGACGTCTTGGTGTGGCCATCTGAAACAAAGGATATTATTGAAAACTGGAACTTTCAGGCGCGATTTTCGATCAAGGCTCGGACGACGTCCAAACAGCCTTCAAGTACGCCATTTCGAATCACAACCAGAACGAATCGGGCCGGCGTTTCGAGCTGCAGGCCTACGTGGACGTCATCAACACCAAGGATGCCTTCAAGCTATCCAGACTGAGTAAATATGCCAAAGCGCCGGGAAAATCCGGTCAGTCAACGCCACCCTATGTTAGTTTGCAGCCAGTTTTCACGGGGAGTTTACTCCATGGTGGGCGCAGTCTCTCCAGACTCCTTCGACACGCTCCACTCATACAGCAATACTTTTCAAGTCCCATTCGTCACTCCTTGGTTCCCCGAAGAGGTAAGTTTCACAGTTTGCCCCCAGCCGCCCCCCTACATGCAACTTCCAGGTGCTGCCCCCTTCCTCGGGATTCTTGGACTATGCCACCTCCATGCGCCCAGAGTACCACCAGGCCATCATCGACACCATCAAGTACTACGGATGGCGGCGGATCATCTACCTGTACGACTCCAATGACGGTAGGCGAAAGCCTTCAACCCTTTCAGGGGGGACTTAACGAGACCTTTCCAGGCCTGCTAAGGCTGCAGCAGATCTACCAGGCCTTGACTCCAGGCAACGAGCCTTTCCAAGTGAAAACTGTGCGACGCATCAACAACGTGACCGACGCCTTGCAGTTCTTGCGCGGCCTGGAAGAACAGTCCAGATGGGAGCACAAGCACGTGGTTCTGGACTGTTCGGCCGATATGGCCAAGGATATCGTGGTGGGGCATGTGAGGGAGGTTTCGCTGGGACGACGCACCTACCACTATCTCCTATCGGGACTGGTAAGACTGCACCTATCAAACTCCTGGGAGGAAATAAAAATCCCCTGCAGGTGATGGACGATCGGTGGGAGTCGGAGGTGGTGGAGTTCGGCGCCATCAACATCACGGGCTTCCGCATTGTGGACTCTTCCAGAAAAAACGTCCGCGACTTCCTGGAAGGGTACGCCATTAAGCAGAGCTTTGCGAGATTCCCGAAAATTCAAATCTAGGTGGAAGCGGCTGGACCCTATCCAGTCCCAAGGAGCGGGACGGGAGACCATCTCGGCCCAAGCCGCCCTCATGTACGACGCAGTCTTTGTGCTGGTGGAGGCTTTCAACAAAATTTTGCGCAAGAAACCCGACAACTTCAAGAACATCCGCATCGGACGCGGCCAATTGTTCTACAACAATGGGAGCAAAATCCTGGATTGCAATCCCAATGGGGGCTGGGTCACTCCGTGGGAGCATGGCGACAAGATTTCCAGATATCTGAGAAAAGTGAGTGCGTTGAGGGAGTATGAAGGCTTTCACGGCCGCTCAGATTACATTTAGGAATGTTTTCCGGGCTTTGAAGCCGTGGTCTATCGCAATTTCTTCCTGACGTTTCGTCCACAACTGCGGTGGACATTTTCAAAGGCGATGAGGCAGTGGGAGAAATGATCTCCCGTGCTTTCCGACTAAGA